AAATCCTAACCAAAACTGTTATTTTTGAGTGAGTATGTCCTATGGAGGAGTATCTTAAATCTTATAGTTTGCTCAAATGAAGACTAGGTTTGAGAACTTTTGACATTAGATGAATATATTTAATAGTTATTCCCTCCTTTTAACTTTCAAGTTTAATCATATTTTCTTTGTTTATTCTGAACATTTGTTATCACCTTTATTAATGGGATGAAAATAATTAATTTTTTTTTTTTTTTTTTTTTCTTGAGACTCGGCCTCCCAAAGTGCTGGGATTATAGGCGTATAGGGATTATAGGCCACCACGCCCGGCCAGTAATTCTTGAAAATAGTAAAATGCAAACTACTCAATGATTTGTCCCTCTTTGGCTTTGAATGTGTTGCTATATATTTTCTTCAACTTTCTTACCAGGTTCCCATTAAAGGCACTCAGACAACAGTTTATCCACCCTTCTACTCCCCAAATCTAATAGACGAAAAGAGAGTCTGTATGCTTTTTGACCAAGAGAAACTATTTTTTCCAAAAGAGGAAAAAATCAAAAGTTACAAAATAACATTTTGAACATTCAATATAATAATTTTAGTCCCATTGAATACCATTTTTGTTGCTGTACTACATTTGCTTTGTAGAGAATACTTTAAAAAAAAAATTCACTATGTTTAGTTCAAAGAACACCCAAACCTTTAACCTCTTAATTTCCTTTTTCTTTTCATTTGATGCCTTGAAAATTTTAAAAAATAATTTGACCATCTCTCTGTGCAATGGATATGTGAGGCTAGTAGAAGAAACAATCTTGGTGCTTCAATGTTATGGTTTACAGATTTGGTCTGGAATTTTGTGGACATAAAATTAAAATCAGTGCCTCAAGTAGAATTCTTTGACTCTCATTGCTAGCTCAGATGATCATCTGTTTACACCTCTTATTTACATAAAAGCAGGAAAATGGAAAGACTCTAAGTGCTAGATAATATCAGACTCTTGAAAGTGCCTTTTATTTCAGTGTGAAGGTATCTAATATTCTGGGCATTCTAACTAAATAAAATAATGAAGGCAGAGGATAATGACCACTGTGGAAGATCTGTGAAGCTGTTCTTTTTCCTTATTCCACTCTTAGCCTCTTAATCGACTCCTCCCTGCAGTCCCTATAGTCAGGATGTAGAATGAAAGCCATTCTCCTGGGAAAGAAGCTAGATAAATTACAGTTACTTAATTTTCTTTACTTAATAACTGATTTTATGTATTTTATTATGTATTTTAGTATGTAGTAAAACAAGTAGTATACATTTAATCAAGATGATTCTTATATATTTTTAACCAGAATATACCACAGCATTTGGTCTAGGAGAGCTCAAAGAATATATCAAAATGCCGTATTTACCAGGACTACAAAGTAACCAAAAAAGTGTAAGTTCAACTCCGCTAGAGGTTCCAAAAAGACTGCCACATGCTGATGCCGAGGTGTCTGCAATCAGGTAGATCATTGCTATTTAATTATCATTTGTTGAATGTGTATTTGTAGTAATACTGCTGAATGTAGAGGTTTTTCTGGCCAGTGAATTGAATTCATTTTTGCCGGTTTTTTTTTTGTTTTTGTTTTTTGTTTTTTTTTACATAAAGGATTTAATTTTTAAAATCGAAGCCATTTTATTCAGTTTGACAACTCGGCGCTTTTCTGTTTTCGGGTGTTGTTACCAGAAAAGATTTAAGACTTCTTTTTTCTTTTCTTTTTCTTTTTGGACAGAGTCTGGCTCTGTAGCCAGGCTGGAGTGCAGTGGTGTGATCTCGGCTCACTGCAACCTCCGCCTCCCGGATTCCAGTGTTCTCCTGCCTCAGCCTGCTGAGTAGCTGGGATTACAGACGCCCGCCGCCAGGCCCGGCTAATTTTTGTATTTTTGGTAGAGATGGGGTATCACCAAGTTGGCCAGGATGGTATCTATCTCTTGACCTCGTGATCCACCCGCCTTGGCTTCCCAAAGTGCTGGGATTACAGGCGTGAGCCAGGGCACCCAGCCCCGATTTAAGGGCATTTTAAAAATCCTTGATTGCCCTAGCCTAAATCATCCCCATGAGAACACTGGAATTTTTAGTATTAGAGAAAAAAAAAAAAAAATTAGCTCTCTGCAATATTAAAAAGTTTCTGTACCCTGTATATAGAACCTTGTACTTCATTTCTGGTCTGACTGAAGTAATGTGAAGGAAGATTCTGAATGAGATATTGGCCTAATTAACATCCTGCATTGACTATCAGAAAGGAATTTTTCAGCCAGAAAAGTCTCCCTGACTTTGAACACTGACATTTGAAAACATAATTACAAATACTTTTCCTGCTAGAAATCAGACTGACTGACATACCATTAAAACTCTTCAAAGGGATCTCTAAGTTAGTAAGATAGCCTCACATTCCACTCAGCTTCTGCTTTGGTTCATTTATTTGTTCTTCAGATATTTGTTGAATGTCTAGTTATGTTTTTTTTTTTTTGAGACGGAGTCTCGCTCTGTCGCCCAGGCTGGAGTGCAGTGGTGCGATCTTGGCTCACTGCAAGCTCCGCCTCCCGGGTTCAAGCAATTCTCCCGCCTCAGCCTCCCAAGTAGCTGGCACTACAGGCAACCGCCACCACGCCCGGCTAATTTTTTGTATTTTTTTAGTAGAGACGGGGTTTCACCATGTTAGCCAAGGTGGTCTCGATCTCCTGACCTCGTGATCCTCCCGCCTCAGCCTCCCAAAATGCTGGGATTACAGGCGTGAGCCACCGTGCCCGGACGAATGTCTAGTTCTTATTCACTCTGGTAGTATTTAAGAAGGTGAAGCACTTATAGCATTCTAAGTTGCAACTCTCTTTAGGGAAGGATTTACATTTTTATATTATCTTCCTATTATAATGAACTTTAAAGTCATCCAGTCATGCCTAGCACACAAGATTGAAGTTTCAAAATATGTTTATTGAGTTTTCCAGCTAATACTATTGTTCTTTTTAAGTACTCTTGAAATAAATTCTGGTAATATAGATAGAGAGGTGGAACAGGTTAAAATGAAAAGTTGATAATTTTTATTTAAACTATGAAAATAAGAATAAGAACTTTGCAGAAAAAAAGGAAAATAATTATTTGATAATCTACCCATCATAACATCCATTTTTATTGTTGGATATTCCCTTCTTTCAAAAGAAAGAAAAAATTCTTTTTCATGGATTTCATTTTCGTGGTGATTTTAGTGTACTTAAAATTTTTATCCTGCCTTTTAAAAAATGTTATGTATATGCATTTCATCATGCCACTATATGTTCTTTAAACAGTCTTACCAACCGCATTGTATTTCACTGACGGATCCACAGTTTACTTAATCACTTCCTATTGTTGGATTTTTTAAATGCTTTGATTTTTTGGTTTTGTAAGTAACACCACAATAAACAATATCATACATATAGCTTTTCTCATCATTTTTAATATTATCTGAAGAAAGATTTTCAAGCTATAAAAATATAAAACGCAGAATTGTTCTTTCTGAAGTAAGGTTAGAATAAAATAAGGTAGGATTAGAAATGGAAGAGAGAGAGAGTCGCTACTAGATGGTAACTTAAGTCAAAGTGGAAAATGGAGGGGATGCAGAAAGAGGAGGGACTGTTTGAAACATGACTATAAAGCTACTATGGGCAGTCAGTTACATTGTAACCAAGACACTTGTGTCCCTGACTCTCAACTTATGTCTTTTTTATCAAGGGTCACAGCGCCCTTTGGGGAGGGGGCAGGAGTGTGTAGGGCTGCCTGTGCTAATGGTCTTTGTATCAGTATGAACCCGTCTTGTTACCCTTCCTTCGATACACATGATCATCTTAAAGATACTGGAAGCCTGGAAAATACCCATGAATTAGCCCTTTCTGACTCTTAATTTGGAGTCTTTATTTTGCTTCTTATTGTTTCCACCCTATTTCAGGTTTTTTTTGTTTGTTTCTGTTTTTCATTTGTGATTTGACTGTGAAATTATTTCTAAACATTTTACATTGATTTGAGTGTGAATTTACTTAAGTCAATGAAAGATAATTGAATATATTTTATTCATGTAATGACAAGTGTTCTTCATATATAAAGTGGAATAGTAATGGCTAAGTGACATAATGTATATGAAGTGCTTGGCAAACATAAACGTTAGTTCTTTTCCCTGCCTTTAACTCAAGTGTCTTCATTTTAGCTGTTGTAGTGAGAACATGTCAAATTGCCTGCAAGTATTTTATTCTCCTGTGCACATTGCACAGCGCCCTGTGAAGGAGCAGTTTTGGCAAAGCAGAGAAATACTCATTTTTGTTCATTTTATGTACAACCCCTTACTCTCTTTTTTCCCCTCCTTGTGTGAATATTTGATTGAAAGTGTAATAGTTTTTCAAATTTCCTTATTGGTAAGCAAAATTTTTTAGTGATTCTCAAAGCACGCTCTAGTAATACAAATAACAATAGTAATCCTAGAGATGGAGTACTTAAAAGTGGTTGCTGACTTTTAAAGTGTAAAATAGTTTCAAGAGGCTGGGCGCAGTGGCTCACGCTTGGAAACCCGGCACTTTGGGAGACTGAGGCTGGAGGATTGCTTGAGGCCGGCAGTTTGAGACCAGCTTTGGCAACATAGTGAGACCCCGTCCTTACAAACTTTTTTTTTTTTTAAATTAGCTTGTGTGGTGACATGCACCTACCATCCCAGCTACTCAAGAAGCTGAGGCAGGAAAATTGCTTGAGCCTAAGAGTTCAGAGTTACAGTGAATTATATGATTGTGCCACTCCAGCCTGGGAGACAGTGAGACCTCATCTCAAAAAGAATATTGTTACAAGAAATTTGAGATTTTTATAATGAATTATTTCACCCACAGCAGATTCAATCATGATATATTTTCCCTAATAATCTTATTATCTAGATGTATTTCAGTGGGAACAGAATTACGACAAAATTCAGATAGAGGTGATTGATAGGTAAAAAGTACAAAAAAGTGATAGTTGGTATTCAACATATCCAAATGGCCTGTTTATCTTGATTCCCTCCCATTTAGAATTGCTTGAGTCATGACTAGTCAGAGGTATGATAAAGGTCTGTGGGAGAAGTTAGACCTAGCACTCAGCCACTGGTAAAATTTGCTAGCAAGATGTTGGGTTGGCTCATATCTGCTTCTGATGGGATTAGTTATAATGGAAAAACTTTCCTTTCCTTAACATTTATTTAATGTCCATGTGATGTTATTCAACAAGTGCATTTCACTGTACCCTGAATTTATATGTAAGTAATTTTATGATAATGTATAATATTCAGGCTAAAGAAGACTAAGGAGACATGCAGTGTGGCACCACTTCGGGAGAAATCAAAAGGTAAGCTGACTCATCCTTTTTTCTACCACCTGTCTTGGGTGTCATATACCTTATCTTTAAAAAGAAAAAATCCTTTCTTTTCATTGATTTAATTTTCTTTGTTTTGTTACTACTTCTTTTAAGCTTTGTTTATTTTATAAACTAAGTGGATGTTGGGTTCATTATAAACATACTTTTATAATTTCAGGACCCTAGGGTAGGCCCTCATCATATCTCACTTGGGCCATTTAGTGCCTGCAAACTGGTCTTCTTGTTTTGAATGTCTGATCTTTGAAATCCTTCAATGCCACAAAAAAGTCTAAAACTTTGACTTCTAATCACATTACTCTCTTCTTCAAAAACAGTGACTCCCTCATTACCCACAGACTGAGTATGAACTCTTTAGTTTGACATTGAACCCTTTGCCATCGTCCCTCAGCTTTCCTTTCTAGCTTTATCTTCTAATTGCTAATTTTGTGAATCCTGTATACTTACGACTTCTCATACAGAAACTTATCTATTTACCAACAGTTTTGGTCCCAAAAAACTACTCTTAAGTCAACTTACTCCTAAGTTCATGGTGACTGAAAGGGTTTATGGTACTAAGGTATATTTTATTTGCCATTTGTCCTTCAGTCTATCAAATGATTCATCCTTTCCCTATGTGCAACGAATGTTTTCTTAAAAGCTTAAGCTTTTTATTGAATCAGTACAAATAGCCTAACATCCGAGAAAAGGCCAGGACGAGACAGATTCACAGCTGAATTCTACCAGATGTACAAAGAAGAGTGGGTACCATTCACACTGAAACTATCTAAAAATTTGAGGAGGAGGGATTCCTCTGTAACTCATTCTAGGAGACCAGCATCATCCTGATACCAAAACATGCAGAGATACAACAAAAAAAGAAAACTTCCGATCAATATCCCTGATGAACATTGATGTAAAAATCCTCAACAAAATACTGGCAAGCTGAATCCAGCAGCACACCAAAAAGCTTATGCACCACAATTAAGTAGGCTTGATCCCTGCAATGCAAGGTTGGTTCAACATATCCAAATCAATAAGGGGATTCATCACATAAACAGAACTAAAGGCAAAACCACATGATTATCTCAACAGATGCAGAAAGGCTTTTGATAAAATTCAATACCCTTTCATGTTAAAAATTCTCAATAAACTAGGTATTGAAGGACATACCATAAAATAATAAGAGCCATCTATAACAAACCCACAGCCAACATCATACTGAATGGGCAAAAGCTAGACGCATTCCCCCTGAAAACCAGCACAAGACACTCACCACTCTTATTCAACATATTATTGGAAGTTCTGACCATAGCAATCAGTCAAGAGAGAGAAATAAAGTGCATTCTAATAAGAAGAGAGAAAGTCAAATGTTGCGGGAAGTCAAGGACCCCAAATGGCGGGACTGGCTGGAGCTGCAACAGAGGAACATAAATTGTGATTTCATGGACATTTATCAGTTCCCAAATAATACTTTTATTATTTCTTATGCCTATCTTTTCTTTAATCTCTTAATCCTATTATCTTTGTAAGCTGAGGATGTACTTCACCTCAGGACCACTGTGATAATTGTGTCAACTGTACAAATTGATTACAAAACAATCAAACTGGTTCTCTCAAACCTTGTTTCCTGTTGTTTAAGATGTTTATCAAGACAATATGTGCACCGCTGAACATAAACCCTTATCAGTAGTTCTGCTTTTGCAATTTGTCCTATTCCCTCAGAAGCATGTGATCTTTGTTAGACCCTTATTAGTAGTTCTGCTTTTTGCCCTTTGAAGCATGTGATCTTTGTACCTACTCCCTGTTCTTATGCCCCCTCCCCTTTTTAAAACCCTTAATAAAAACTTGCTGGTTTGAGGCTCAGGTGGGCATCATGGTTCTACTGATATGAGATGGCCCAGCTGTAAAATTCCTCTCTCTTTGTACTGTCTCTCCTTATTTCTCAGTCGGCTGACACTGATGGAAAATAGAAAGAACCTACGTTGAAATATTGGGGGCGGGTTCCCTCAATAGTCAAACTATCCCTGTTTGTAGATGACATGATCCTATATCCAGAAAACCCCATAGTCTTGGCCCAAAAGCTCCTTAAGCTGATAACTTCAGCAAAATTTCAGGATACGAAATCAATGTGCAAAAATTGATAGCATTCCTATACACCAACAACAGTCAAGCCAAGAGTCAAGTCATGAACACAATCCCATTCACAATTGGCACAAAAAGAATAGTGTACCTAGGAATACAGCTAACCAGGGAGGTGAAAGATCTCTACAAGAAAACTACAAAACACTGCTCAAAGAAATCAGAGATGACACAAACAAGTGGAAAAACATTCCATGTTCATGGATAGGGAGACTTAATATAGTTAAAATAACTCTGCTACCCAAAGCAGTTTGTAGATTCAATGTGATTCCTATTAAACTACCAATGACATTCTTCACAGAACTAGAAAAAACTATTTTAAAATTCATATGGAACCAGAAAAGAGCCCAAATAGCCAAGGCAAACCTAAAAAAAAAAGAACAAAGCTGGAGGTATCACACAACCCGACCTCAAACCATGGTACAGGGCTGTGGTAACCAAAACAGCATGGTACTGGTACAAAAACAGACACATAGATCAATGGAACACAATAGAGAGATCAGAAATAAGACCACATACCTACAAGTATCTGATTTTCAACAAAGCTGGCAAAAACAAGCAATGGGGAAAGGTCTCCCTATTCAATAAATGATGCTGGGCTAACTGGCTAGCCATATGCAGAAGATTAAAACTGGACCCCTTTCTTACACCATATACAAAAATCAACTTAAGGTAGATTAAAGACTTAAATGTAAAACCCAAAACTATAAAACCCTTGGAAGACAACCTAGGGAATACCAATCTAGACATAGGAACAGGCAACGATTTCATGATGAAGATGCCAAAACAATTGCAACAAAAGCAAAAATTGACAAATAGGATCTAATTAAACTAAAGTGCTTCTGCATAGCAAAATAAACTATCAACAGAGTAAACAGATAACCTACAGAATGGAAGAAAAATTTTGCAAACTATGCATCTGACAAAGGTCTAATATCCAGCATCTATGAGGAATTTTAAAAAATTTACAAGAAAAAAAAAAAAAACCCTCATTAAAAAGCGGACAAAGGACATGAACAGACACTTTTCAAAAGAAGGCATACATGCAGCCAAAAAAGCATATGGAAAAACTCAACATCACTGATCTTTAGAGAAATGCAAATCAAAACTTCAATGAGATACCATCTTGCATGAGTCAGAATGGCTACTATCAAAAAGTCAAAAAATAACAGATGCTGGAGAGGTTATAAAGAAAAAGGAACACTTATACACTATTGGTGGAAATGTAAATTAGTTTAACCATTGTAGGAAACAGTGTGGTGATTCCTCAAAGATCTAAAAACAGAAATGCCATTCGACCCAGAAATCCCATTATTGGGTACGTACCCAAAGGACTATATATCCTTCTGTCATAAAGACACATGTATGCGTATGTTCATTGCAACACTATTCACAATAGCAAAGACATGGAATCAACCTAAATGCCTATAAATGGTAGACTGGATAAGGAAAATGTGGTACACATACACCATGGAATATTATGCAGCCATACAAAAGAACAAGATTATGTCCTTTGCAGGAACATGGATGGAGCTGGAGGCCATTATCCTTAGCAAACTAATGCAGGAACAGAAAACCAAATACCACAGGTTCTCACTTACAAGTGGTAGCTAAGTGATGAGAACACATGGACACACAGAGAGGAACAGCAGACACTGGGGCCTACCTGAATGTGGAGGGTGGGAGGTGGGAGAGGATCAGGAAAAATAACTAATGGGTACTTGGCTCAGTACTTCGGTAAAGAAATAATCTGTACAACAAATCCCTGCAACACAAGTTTACCTATATAACAAACCTACACATGTACCTCTGAACTTAAAGTAAAAGTTAAAAAGAAAGTTAAATATTTTTAAAACCTTATTTTAGATTTTTATCATAATCATACTATCTTCCTCTAATACACTCATACTTCCATGACTTTGGCTTATGGAATAATGGAGTTAACTGAACACCTCCAAATGAACAACCAAAACTAAAATTACTAAGTAATTGACATTATTGGTAGCTGTCAGAATTGACTTACTGGTAGCTCTGCAAGCTCAGTCTATGGAAGTTTATAAGGGTATTTTCCTTGGATGTTTTCTTTCTCTTAATTTCCATATACTAAAACAACTTCTGTAATCAACAGACAGTGTAAAGTAAATAAATAAATGTTAATTAGAACAAAAGACATTGCTGGCTGGGCGTGGTGGCTCATGCTTGTAATCCTAGCACTTTGGGAGGCCGAGGCAGGAAGATCATGAGGTCAGGAGTTTGAGACCAGCCTGGCCAACATGGTGAAACCCCGTCTCTCCTAAAAATACAAAAATTAGCCGGGCATGGTGGCGCGCGGCTGTAATCTCAGCTACTCAGGGAGCTGAGGCAGGAGAATTGCTTGAACCTGGGAGGCAGAGGTTGCCGTGAGCTGAGATTGTGCCACTGCACTCTAGCCTGGGCGACAGAGCAAGACTTTGTCTCAAAAAAACAAACAAACAACAAAAAACTCAAAAGACATTGCTTTGAATCTCGGCCCAAATGAACATTTGCCAGCCTTTTTCCCAACATTATGGCTTCGGTGTCTTATTCACTCACCTTCATATCCCTACAGTGCCTACACTAGTTTCTGCAACAAAGTGAGTCTTCAGTAAATACTTATTAAAAGTTATTTTCCTTCAGAGTCGTACAAGAAGGGAGGTCATAGGCCAGGCATGGTGGCTTATGCCTGTAATCCCAGCACTTTGGGAGGCCGAGGCAGGTGGATTTCTTGAGCCCAGGAGTTCAAGACCAGCCTGGGCAACATGGCAAACCCCATCTCTACAAAAGTACAAAAATTATCCAAGTGTGGTGGCTCACACTTGTAGTCCTGACTACTT